AAGCCGAATTTGATGCAGACGCTGGAGGGGACGCCGGTTTTCGTGCATGCGGGGCCGTTTGCGAATATTTCGATTGGGAATTCGAGTATTATTGCTGATCGGGTTGGGTTGAAATTGGCGGGGACGGAGGAGGGCGAGGATCATGATGGGAAGGTTGGGTTTGTGGTTACGGAGGCGGGGTTTGATTTCACGATGGGCGGGGAGAGGTTTATGAATATTAAGTGTAGGGCTAGTGGGTTGGTGCCGGATGTGGTGGTTATTGTTGCTACGGTTCGGGCGTTGAAGGTTCATGGGGGGGGGCCGGAGATTAGGCCTGGAGAGCAACTGGCGGAGGTTTATAGGACGGAGAATGTGGAGGTTTTGAGGAGGGGGTGTGTGAATCTTGCTAAGCATGTGAGGAATGCGAGGGCGTATGGGGTGGATGTTGTGGTTGCGATTAATCGGTTTGAGACGGATACGGAGGCTGAGTTGGAGGTTGTGAGGGAGGAGGCGATTAAGGCTGGCGCGGCGGATGCTATTGCGGCAAATCATTGGGCTGAGGGTGGGAAGGGGGCGGTGGAGTTGGCTAAGGGGGTTATTCGCGTGGCTGAGAAGGCTAGGCCGGAGGAGTTTAAGTTGTTGTATGGGCTGGAGGATACGTCGGTGCAGGAGCGGATCGAGGCGATTGCTAAGAAGATGTATGGAGCGGGGAGTGTGTCTTTCTCCGAGACGGCGCAGAAGAAGATCGATACGTATACGAGGCAGGGGTTGGGAGGTTTGCCGATTTGTATTGCTAAGACGCAGTATTCGCTTAGTCATGATGCGGCGTTGAAGGGGGCGCCGGAGGGGTTTGAGTTGCCGATAAGGGATGTGAGGATGGCGGCTGGGGCGGGGTATTTGTTTGCCTTGGCGGCGGATATTCAGACGATTCCTGGGTTGCCTACGGCGCCGGGGTATTTGAATGTGGAGGTTGATACGGAGACGGGGGAGATTGATGGGTTGTTCTGATATGGATGAAGGAGATGGGTGGGTTGGTCTGGGGTTGATGGTGTTTGGTTTGCAGCTGATACCGTTTCATCACGGTGGCTTTTTGAGGGTAGGGTGTGTTGTGGCGTTTTTTTAAGAGAGGATGGGGGGTTCACTCAACGTGATACTAGCGAGGTGTTGTGGAGTTGATTTAGTTGAGCTTGAGTGTGATGAAAGTTATATTTTACCACTTTGCAAGACTGTGGGATACTTGCCCTTTGCAAGGCATAAGTACATATGCTTCTCATGTTCTCGGACCCATATTTGTATGGCGCGTTGACTACTACACACCTTCGTCAAGCCTTGGCGAAATCTAGCCTTGAGCACGTCCCCCAATGCCAACCTTGATGGACGTCTCTCCCGCGGGGCAAGCACGATGGCATGACCACCTTCCACTCCAGGCACGACCTCCAAACCAATACAACAGTCTCAGGATGAACGTCAAAGGACTCCTCGTCAACGCTGCTCTGCTGGCCGGCGCAGTTGCGTCTCCAACGCAGGACCAGGCTGTACTTCGACAACCAACTCCAGTCAAGTCTGGCCACAATGCTATCGAAACTGGTGAAGGGCACTTCTCGCAGTGGTCCCGAGCAACGAAGAGGGAATTCTTGATCGATTGGCAGGCTGGCCGGAGTGCAGAGTGGACGATCGTGCAGGGCAACGAGGGTGGAGATCTTGACAGTATGGCTGCTGCTTTGACTTGGTAAGTGGAGTACGTACGAATGTCTCCCTGGACTTGTGCATGCTCTTCAAAATCACTCCATACCGCTAAGCGGCTGAACGGTTTTGGAGATGTCCAGCGTCGAAGATTATGCAATGCAGACTTCTACGCGTTGCTGGACGTGCTTTTGCACTTAGGCTCGAACTCTTGCTATGGTCCTTTCGTTGAATCCGAAAAAGGCTCTCCGGGTTGCCATATCCTATCGCACTGGTGCTATTGACGATTAAGCGAACCTGAACGAAACGAGACTGCAGCAGACAGCATTTGCTGATTCTCAGTCTTGTGTAGGGCCTATCACCTTGAGCACTCGACTGCTAACACTTCGAACCCTGTCAAGGCTATTGCATTACTTCAGACGTCTACGGATGCCCTAGATCTGCGACCCGAGAACAAACTCGCGTTGGAGAATGCCAGAATGAGCACTGGTCATTCCGATCTTCTGACGATCGATGAGCTACCCGAAGATCCGGAGACCCTAGCGAAAGACATCAAAGGCATCGTGCTAGTCGACCATCCTATTGCGCTTCGCAAGTGGAAAAATGCTCCGGTACTAGGCATTATCGACCATCACCAGGATCGAGGAGTAAACGAGACCGCCGAGCCGAGGATATTCGAGAAAGTGGCTTCTTGTACGACGCTTGTAGCACGTCAAATGCTTGACGAGCTGGAAAAGCTACCCGAGGAATATCACTTGCCACACGAGCTCCTAGAGCTGATTCTTGGAGCCATTGCGATTGACTCCGATGGTCTCACAGACGAGGAGAAGACGACGGAAGCAGATCGAACGACGGCACAGCGCATTCTCGAACGTAGCAACTGGAGAAAGTCGGATCTGGACGACAAGATGCAGGACCTTGATGAAGACCTGGGGGACGCTAAGAAAGACCTTGACGGTATGGGACTGCGCGATTTACTCAGGTAAGTATTGATGGTCCAGAAATTAAGACATGTACTGACTCCCCTACTCTTCACCTTTGCAGGCGTGACTGGAAGGGTGATCTTGTTGATACACCGTCGCCACGAACGCCGACTGTCGGACTAGGCTTCTCGTCAATTCCCTACTCAATGGACGAGCAAATCAAGAAGACCGAGTTTGAAGAGCTCTTCGACTGGTTCGCTATAGAGGCCGCGTGGACGGCTGGCACGGGCACCGATATCAGCGTTGCTCTAAATAAGTACAAGATCAAGGACAAGCACGGCAAAAAGCAGAAGATCCGCGAGATCGTGTTAGTCGTGCGAAGCGACGTCCGAATCGATCAGGATCAGGCCGATGACTTGTTCAAGACTGTAAAGGCTGCGATCGACAATGAGCCGACGTTGAAGGCAAAGCCATGGCACAAGGCAGGTGAGCTTGGCAGGAACCGCATGGTGTGGACGCACGAGCGTAGTGACGCTGGACGGAAGGTGATCAGACCCATCATCGAGAAGGCAGTGATGTCGTGGGATTGAGGAGGTGCTCCGAATCGCTGTAATCTTACTACGGCTTGGCGGGTGTGTACAATGCCGCCTTGCTTTGGTCTTTCATCCATTCCCAGCATCAGACGTGTGAGTATACCACCGTATCCTGCGGGCCCTTTTCGTCCCCTTGGGTGCTTTCCTCGCCGTCCAACAGCGCGTTCAGACCTACTGCATGCTGCACTCTTGCGAGTCTCGCCCTGTCTGCTTGACTCGAGTGGCTACCGAAGGCAGCATCCATCTTTTCGAGTGTGCGGCCGGCCGTCTCAGGAAGGACTATGAGAACAGGTGGTTAGCAGAACACTCCAAGAAGAGTTCAACATATAGAGAGAAGGCTCACAGAAGTAGACGAAGAGCCCTCCGAGCATCCAGGCCGCGAAAAAGGTATAGGTCCTCCAAGTGATGGCTGTTAGCATGGGTGGTGTGATAAAAGCGATGATGAAGTTACTGCTCCGCTGTTCTGGATTATCGGAATCCAAACGGTAACCGAGAGAAGTTCTCAGTAACCTACGAATCTGGAATCGATGCAGGACCTGCCTTCGACGCTCATCTTGCAGTGTACGGCGAGAACAAGCGTGTCATGATCAGGTACGACTCGCCGTATGTGAAAAGACTGCCAATCAAAGTCTTCGTCCAAGAGCTCAACGAGCATAGCGAGATGCAAAGTCGAGAAATACTCCATTCATACGAAGATACGTAGAGCTTCAGGAATTGTATGAGTGTCTTGTGAATGGCTGACCCATCAAAACGATTGTACAAGATGCTATGCAAGGTTTGCAGATCTACGACGGGATGTACAAGGCTTGGACCAGGTCGCGAATTGAGCTATCGAATGTCAACGGAACGTCGAAGAAGACGAACGGGGTTGGATATTGACGTGGACCAGATCTTGGATATATGATGGCTGATGCATGTCTTTCCCCACGATCATGATCTGTTCAATCACCGACCAAGTCTTACCATGTTGTAACGCCAGTGTCTTCCAGGGTACTGCGTCTTGACATCTTTTCGCACTTCATCTGCGAGAGCTTCCATAACGTTCTCCGCATGCCTGTCATCCAGCCCGAATTGATGAAACCTCATATCTTGCAGATAATTTATGGTCTAATCAGACATAGAGCTGGTCTTTGCATGCTTGCTTGCAACGCCGTAATTGCCTTGTCTGCAGCATTCCCAGAATGTTTCACTGCTTCAGCTTTAATCTCAAGATAGTCCACGAGAACGAGCTCATGGTGCTCCAGTAGACCGCGTAGACGTGAGAGGTTGTCCAGCTTCTTCATCGCGGCCTTTGTTCATCAGAAAGCCTGGACTGAAGGGCATGGCATGAGAAAGCGTGTCATTGTGACAGCGGATAGAGGATTTTATGCCAACATCCGCCTGAATTCGCACTTGTTATCATCACCAACTCAAAGTAAGACGGACCGTGTCGCCCAGTGTTGTTCGTAGCCCACCTCATCCCGACGCTGCCCGGCCGCTAGCGTCTTCCAGTGACTGCGATCGCAACATCTCTTGATGTCAACTGTGAAAAATGCGGTATTGCCGTCCGCATGCCTCTCTCATTAACGTTGTATTGATTCAGCTTCGTTACTCGCCAAAACGAACAACGGCTACCGTTCGAACCTGGACGGTCAAGACAGCAAAAGGAGAAACCACCTTCAAAGCGACCATACCCAATCCCGCTAGGAGGAGAGGAGGATTCTATTTATGCTCCAGTGTAAACCTTCAGGACTTGTAATGAGGTCCCTGGGACTCCGCGTAATTTCATGCATTCAGTTTTCTGCGTCATCGTCCTTAAAGTGCAATTGCCCGAAGGCTGCTGACCGGATGCTGAGAATCGAACTCAGATCTACTGCTTAATGCACCGGCCAGGCCGGGCGACGTTAAGCAGTCGTGGATACCGTTGACACCACATGATCGGGGGCATTGCTGATTGAGCCAGTATATATCATTGGTCTGTATGTAGCCGACATTGGTCCGGTAGAGCTCGCTGGCGGGGTGTTGTGGTGGAGCTATGGTGCCAGAGAAACGGTGGTGTGAAGTCAGACCGAAGGGGAAGGCGCGACCGGGCGACACGCCGCCTTCGTTTCGGAAAGTCGTTGCCATCAAGTCATCAACGCGAAGCGTCTCGCAGAAGAGTCAGTCAGGGGCGGTCACTTAGCATGTAAATAACGCGTTGAAGCTTTGACACTTCTCCTGATGCACATTTCAATCATGAGACCATGTACATTCGTGGTTCGAGTAACTCCTGCACGCTAAGCAACGCAATGCGCCGAGCCGTCAGTTGTTGGCAACGCCATGCGCCTTGATGGTAAGGATACTCATCACATAGCCATTTCGGCCTGCAGCTTTCGCAGCTCTTCCTCCTCGTCGTCCTCTTCGATCCGCTGTTGCTTGCCTTTGACTGTGAAGGTTGTTAGCACGAAATCACAACCGCTAAAACGTGGCTAGGCGACTCACTCTCTCCGGTGCCGACCGCAGGCATCCTCTGTATTTGATCTGACACCGGCACTGAGCCTGTCCGCAACATCTTGTTGTCCAACTCCTCCTGCTGCAGCTCCGCAAGCTCCTCGTCCAACTCATCCTCATCGACGCCCTGCCCGATATTTCCTTGCGTCAGCGCCTCAGCAATCTCCTCGCCAATCGCATGCTGCTCTCGCAAGTCCTCCATGGTCTGATCCACCTTATCAATCGTCAAACCACCATGTATCTTCTTCATCGCCTGCTGTGCATGCTTCATCGCATCTAGCGTCTCTTTGTTGATGTTCGCTGTTTCAATGGAGGAGATCTCGCGCTCAACCGTAAGCATCTGTGCCGACGTCTGTTCAAGTTGGTGCTCGTAATTCTTCTTCCGCCGTAATGCTGCCTTTGCCACTATAAAACACATTCATGTCAGCAATGTCCTCAGTAGGCATACGTGCTCGCGTGACACCTACTTGCTTTGTTCCCGGCCACGTTCTTCCTCGCTATCGCATCCTGCTCGTCCATCTGGTTTTGTAAGTGCTTCTCTCGCTTGGACAGCATCTCCAATGTGCTTCGCAGCCCGAGGATAGCATTCTTGGGCGCATCCTTGCTCTTCGCTGTGTTGCCGCCGCCAAAGATGTTACCCCAGCCCCATCCGGAGGCCATGCTGTAAGGCGATGTTTTTGCAGACTGTGCTGCTCAGGAAGTGGCGCCTTTGAGTAGTCGCAACGCCAAAGCTGAGTGTTATCGCAAATCCTCGTGACAGTGGTAGATCACCGAAGCAGGCGGGAACAGTAGACGTTCACTAAAGGCGTCTCTTGGCTCAAAGCTTGGGGATTTTGCAGATAAGCTGAGGTGGCTGCCTGAAGGGGGTTGGCTGCGAGAGTTTCTGGCTGTAGGCGGCGATGATAGTATGCAAGGAGGATGTCAAGGATGTGTGGTTTCTGGTGCCTTCGCGCATGACATGACGTTCGAGCTGGAGCTCGCCGACCAGGTTGTTGCCTGAGGACTTCGGCCAACTTCAGACAAAGACTGGACATCAACAAAGTGAACGAGCCTGGTACACTTAGCTAGTTACTTGATGGCCTCGCTATACAATGCCAGAGGCTAGCTTACTCGTGAAGCTGGACCAGCTTCATACCGTTAAGACAGGCTGCAAGATCCGAGTCCTTGGATGGTTCGGATAATGCGTAGCAATGCTGATAGCATATACTGACTTGCGAGCAGCGTACACGGATATGACATCGAAAATGCTAGACTGACGTTGCGAGACCGCTACCCAGCTACCACGAAGGACGCACCGACTGCCATGATCACAATCGAGAATTTGGTCGATGGCCTCAACCACGAACTCCTCGCCACTGGTACCTGGCTGAACATCATGGGCTACGTGCGGATCACACCGAGCGGCACAACGGTGTCTAGAAGGGCAAAAGTTACCTGCGTCGAAGCCACGATGCTGTGGTCTGCGGGCGCTGTCAAGGTGGAGAAATACCACGCGGCGGTAGAAGCTTTGCAGGAGGCTACAAAGGGCGATTGAGACGTGTTAGATCTCCTCCCATGGCAGTCTGCCTGGAAAGACTTCATGCCCACTCTTCCCACCCTCCCACGCCAGCAGTCGCTTCACGGATTCATCAGCGGTAAGCTTATCGATCACCGCAGAATTCCACTTTCGGGCTCTCCTTTTCTCAGATAGCGGCGGCCGTGAACCATACGGATCATTCACGAAGAGCTCATGCGCCCGCTTGTGCTCTGATTGCTGGGTCTGCTCTAGCTCTTGCAGAGTGAAAGGTGGATTTAAGCCCTGCACTCGAATCCTGCTCGACGGCCATTTGATAGCTTTTGCGTGGAGCTCGAGGAACCGCCTCTCCTTGAATGCATGCGTGACTACGGTCACGTACTTGGGGTACCGACCCATGTGCTGGCGATACCGCAAGATGGAGAAGAGCAGATTCTGGTAGCTGTCTGTTGCATAGTCGTCCAAGGAACACGGATGCGCCTCTTCTCTGAGCTGACCACTTTGGATAAGGCTTCGGTACACCTGAAAATACCCCTGGGCTTCACTCTGGTCATCGATGGCAGTGCAACCGCCAGAGAACATAAGCAAGGCATTTAACTCTCGACCCAGACTAGCGCCTACGAGTATATGCTTGACGAAGGTGTTGACTTCGCTCGGCTTTCGTGCTTCTGCATCTCGTCGTTGGAATTGTTGAAGAATCCAGTTTGCCTCGTCTTTAATATCGTCGCTGCTGGAGCCTGTGTACGTTGCGTGGCAGCAGACGACGACCAAATCCTGACAGGAGGTCCCCTGAGTGGTCTCTTCCGCCATGCTCTACGACAATTGAATATCAGCCTCACAAGTGTCAACTCAAGCAACTTTCATGTAAGACGGGTTGCGTCCCGAGCCTCGACAAAAGTGCTTCGGGAATGCTTGAAGTCTTCCCTCCGCGTCCTGATCTCAGTAACCGCGTCTGCTCATACTACCGTCCTGCAGAGTCGCATAGCAGTGCAGAGACTGAAGCCGTCCTAGCGTTACGGTGAGAACGACCGTTGCACAGTAGTGCTGTGGCGCAGACACGAGGTTGACGTACGCTATTCTTGGCCAGGCGAATGCATGCAACGGGATGCAGGAAGAGCACTAGCTTCTAGCCTTGTGCATGGAGTCTGTACAGTCGAGGAACTGTTCTTGTTTTCCGACTTTCACATCTCCTTTGCTTGACAAGATTATTGTTCCCCCGCGCATCGTTGTCACATTCGTTGTCGTCGTTGGAATCTGAAACCACTAGCAACGGTGCCGAGCCGCAAAGTGCCCGCCGACTACCGAGCGCCACGACGGGAACCCTGAGGTCGCGCGAGCGGTTGGCTTTCTGTCGAACAAAGAAGGCGTCGTCACTGCAACATTCGCTTTGATCTGAGCATTACACCATCCTTCGCACCATCTCCTTATCCATCACAGCGGTCCACGCACACACACGCGACACACAGCCCGAATAAGCATCCCAAACAGAGCCACAAGCATTGGAGCAGCATCATCAGCTTGAAACATCTCCAAGCATGGCGTATCAGGGGGGATATGGCGACGAACACAGAGCGCACGACATGTCACAAGGCAATGTAAGACCAGCGTGACCGACACATGCAGCAATGGCAAGACACGTTCACTGACAGCAACCCCAAAGCCACCATATCACGCGCCCGTCGCGCACGACAGCGACGACGACGAGCAAGAACGGTCACTTCTTCACGCCAACCCGAACGGTCCCTTTCAGACTCCCTTCGACGACCCAATGAGTCGCGGTAACACCCCAGGCATCCATGAGCCTACGGGCTACAGCTTAGAAGAGTCGTATGTTGGTGGGAACACTGCCCATGGCCAGGCCTACAATGACTACGGTCATGATCAGGGCTACAGTACTCAGCTTGAGGACCCTGGCTATGGCCACAACCAGCCACCTCGTGCGCCGAGTCCATATGAAAGGAGTGAGACCGGCAGCACAGAAGCATGGCGGCAGAGGCAGGCGCCGGGTGGTCCGGCTGCGCAGATGAGCGGAGGTCTGAAGCGCAACGCGACACGTAAAGTCAAGCTTGTTCAGGGTGCTGTGCTAAGCGCAGATTACCCAGTGCCATCGGCCATCCAAAACGCTGTGCAGGCAAAGTACAGAAATGATTTGGAGAGCGGCAGCGAGGAGTTCACACATCTCCGCTACACAGCAGCAACTTGCGACCCAAACGACTTCACCCTCAAGAACGGATACAATCTTCGCCCGGCCATGTATAACAGACATACGGAGTTGTTGATTGCGGTCACGTACTACAACGAGGACAAGACGCTCACAGCTCGGACGCTGCACGGTGTGATGCAGAACATTCGTGAAATCGTCAACTTGAAGAAGTCGGAGTTCTGGAACAAGGGCGGACCAGCGTGGCAGAAAATCGTCGTGTGCTTGGTGTTTGACGGCATCGATCCTTGCGATAAGGGTACGCTCGATATTTTGGCAACCATTGGTATCTACCAGGACGGCATCATGAAGAAGGACATTGACGGCAAGGAGACGGTGGCACACATCTTCGAGTACACTACACAGCTGTCCGTGACGCCAAACCAGCAGCTGATCCGGCCGCTCGATGACGGACCGACCACACTCCCGCCCGTTCAGATGATGTTTTGCTTGAAGCAGAAAAACAGCAAGAAGATCAACTCTCACAGATGGCTGTTTACTGCGTTCGGCCGCATCCTCAACCCAGAAGTGTGCATTCTGCTCGATGCTGGAACCAAGCCTGGCCACAAGGCGCTGCTAGCCCTCTGGGAGGCCTTCTACAATGACAAGGATCTCGGAGGTGCTTGCGGTGAGATTCACGCACTGCTCGGCAAAGGCTGGCGCAACCTGCTTAATCCGCTCGTGGCGATCCAGAACTTCGAGTACAAGATCTCCAACATCCTGGACAAGCCTCTGGAAT